CTCTCTCTCTCTCTCTCTCTCTCAGAGGTTCAGCAGCATCTAGTGGTCTTGCTGGAAAGAAATGTTTGTGTAAATAAAATTTATTTTTCTCACCGTTGTCTTAGTGGTGTTTATGCAACGTCCTGCAAAACAGTAGTTGCTGAATAGTACCTTTTCTCAAATCTGTTTGTGCAAATCATTATGCTTTCTTTGGTTTTGCTCTGGATACATGCAAATAAATAAATGTATAGTTGCATGCATTCATGAAACACGGGCAGAACAAACTTCTGTGTGAATTTATCATAAAAATGCACAAATTGAAACTGGATGAATGCAATAAAGTAATGCAAGAATTTTACAAACAATATAAAAAGTGCGAGCATAAGTTGAAACGATCTACATGATATCACAATTTACATTATAATGGTTTTATGAATTAACACATAACTATAAAACAGATTGCTACAATTTATGTAAGAAAGATTTTATAAACAATCTATGTAGAGTAAAATGATTAGTCTTTAAGCCCATTCACAACAAGGATGATAACTATAATGATAAAAAATTAACAAAATGTTCCCTTGCGTGGTGTGGATGCTAATATAGTTACCATTTATGGTGTGATACTTTATTTACCCATTTATGCAATAACGTATTTAAAATGTTTGATAATGTAACTTGCACATAATTTGTGAATCATTATACCAACAGTTTGCACAGAAATACATTTTAGTCATCCTTCATACATGAGGCATGTACTTTACAGTTTGTGTGAAATATTTGAAATGAGCCATATTATTTGTTTTATTGTTTTATTTATAATTATGTTTTGAATTACAAATTTTCATTTTTTAATAATTACTGCAATGCATAAATTGAAGAAGCATTCAAAGAAAGCAGAAGTTTCTTTTTTACAAAATAGTTTTTTATTATTATTCTTTTTAATGAATTATTCATTTGTATTACAAAATATTTTAATTACTGTAAAACGATAAATGATTTGTGAGAAGCATTCTTTTTTCTGTTGTTTTTTATTTTGTTTTTAATCAAATTTATAATTATTATTTTTATGTATTTATTTATTTACAAGATATTTATATGTTACTGTAACTAAATATATTTTGTGTGTGTGTGTGTGTGTGTGTGACTTACCATGGCTATCATGGTCAGTATGTAAAGAGAAATGTATCATCCATTTATTCCTTACATAAAGTTGATCTAATCCCATATGTACCCAGTCTAACATAAACATCACCATATATGTCTCATATATGTACATTATACATATATAACATAGCAACTATCTTTGCTGTACATTTCACTGTTGTGTGTTTATCTCGACACCCTCCTAAAGCATCCATGCTAATGTGTTAGTATCAGTATCCAGCCTAACACCTTGTGAATGCTAACCAAAAGCACAGTGAAACTGCTCCAGATCTCTGCAGGCCGTGCACACAGATTAGCACTTCAAAAAGGGCAAAGCGGTCTCCAACTCTGACATGCCGTCAATACACATTCTTTAATGCCGTGCCTCTGGCTGTTGCTGTTGACTCCGCAGATAACCTCGGCGTCATTTAGCACAGCTTATTTCTGCAGAACATGACATCCAGCACCTTTTAATCCAATTATATCATTATTATATGTCAGAAACCTAATATACTCGCATGATGACACATACAGGATGTGTACAGGTTTCTTGTGCCAACAAGAATTAATGTGACTTAGCATGGGGTATTTATGGCGAATTGCATAATGAGTATTCCAGGGCTCTGGTACTCAAACATGTCTAATATCAGAAAATAACTAAAATAAACAACAACCCCACATCAAGGATCAAAGCTGCGTTCAACACAATAAAAAATACAATAGTAAATTCCTCACAGTAATGAAGTACAATCTTTTCCTCTTGTTTTCCAGTAATATATACTCACTTTCTCACCAATGGATCCTCTGCGGTGAATGGGTGCCGTCAGAATGAGAGAACAAACAGCTGATAAAAACATCACATTAATCCACCAGTAATCCACATGACTGCAGTCCATTGATTGACATCTTGTGAAGTGAAAAGCTGTGTGTTTGCAAGAAGCAAATCCATCAAGACATTTTTAACTTTAATCAGCTGTTTGGACTCTCATTCCGATGGCACCCATTCACTGCAGACGATCATATTGATGTAATGCTACATTTCTCCAAATATGTTCCCATGAAGAAACAATCACATGTATAACTTAAATTATAAATATAAAATGTTTAAAAATGGTTCTAATCATTCTGGAATTAAAAATACTTCACATAGAATGCTAAAACAATTGAGAATTGTGCTGAAACCCTAACACGAGTCACGCGACAGGACCTTTATTACCTCCTAGAATAGCATTTACAGTATCTTGCATCAGATCAGTCAGAACCCTGCACTGATAAGCATCAATCTGTTTGCTTTCTGGAGTGTGGTGCATTGTATTAATAAAATCAATATGCACACATCTGAAGCTCTGGGCCCAGATTTGGTGATGTACCAAATCTGGCAAGACTTTATCGATGATTCTGTAATGTCTCAGCACAAGCTAATTTTCTCTTGCACAAAAGGAAGTAACAGTATAATGTAGATAAATAATAGAATATGCCTTTGGTTGATTGAAGACTGTCTGGGGCCATTTTACTTTGACCTAGAAGGTACACCTCATACAAACCAGAATAAGTGAGTATATTATCTACTAAACCCTCGATGGAAGTTTTTTAAAGGAATCTGTTCATCTTCACTAGGTTTAGCTACACAGAAAGAATAGGTTAGCACAATTTCTGTGGAAAAAAAACTTGCACCATGATTCTAGGCTAATGTAATCTTGCAAGGTGAATTTATTGTATTTATTGTAATATTTTGTTTTATGGTCCATCTAGGAAGATTAAACGATCTAATCGCTTAGAAAAAGTAACAGGCCACATGAAACATTCATATCTTTACCACTAACGCTGTGGACCGAGTTACGAAACAAACTGTATTCAAGCAATATCACACGAGCAAGAGCGTTTGTATACAGCAGTTCAATAAACAAGAAGTTAATATTGAGTAACTTAAAGTTTTGACACACTACCACTAGTTAGTTTGTATATTGTTGCTCCGCCGAGGAAAATAGTTCCAGAGTTGTGTGTCTCCGAGCAAGAGAAACATCTTTTCTTCCTGAATGATTCAGCATTCCTGAGCGAATCAATTGAGTGACAAGTCTCAAGTCTCACAAAGACAGTCAGGTATTTTGTCCCTAAGTGAATCTGTGTTTGTGAATGCTTCAGTTCATTGATTAAGTGTAGGCATGAAATGGTTTGACAATAAACCACGATAAAAAGTCCTGACGGTTAGTATTACCATTTCACATTTTTGAAAAACCCGCTGTAAATACTGCTCAGCAAATGCAAAGTCAGTAACAGTTTCACGCAGACGCAACATGCAGCATAGGTTTCATTTTATGTGAAAACATGATGGAAGGCAGAGTGCAGAGAGAAATTATATGAACGAACGTTTGAATTAATTAATTCAATGAATGCATAAGGGGAGGCTGACAGTCTTTAGAAAATTTCCAAGGTTTGCTTTTCATCTTCCGCCTGTGTAACGTCTTACCTCTTAATAAAGTAGTGTTTTATAAGTGCAGCACTGCTTTGTTTACAGAGGTTACTAGAAAACAGCTCTATTCCTGCTGTTCCATATGCGCCACCTACTGTCAGACAGTTGATTTACATTTTCATTCAGCCTGTCTGCCATTTTTTTCAGACCAATGCAAAAATGTGACACACTTTTTGCTGTAAATCGAAAATCTACAGCAACATTTTGCTGTAAATATCTGGAAACCCATTGATGAAAACAAGCTAATGTGCATTCAAAAAATCTCAACACTTCAAATAATAAGGTAGCCTTAGAATTATTTATGAAGCAGGTAAAATGCCTGTAATTAACTAATCCTTTTCTTAACATGATTTAAAGGCTGAAATGCGATGTTTTAAATTTTATAAAACTTTTTTTTTTTTTTTAACATAGTACATTTTAGTGGATAGTTGTATGTCACCCAACCAATATATTTTTGTTTATTTAAAATTTGGCCATCATTTTTAATGTTATTATTTTCATGTTTATAAAAACAAAAAGTGCATAATGTTGCTAATTTTATTTGGCATTTGTGTGTGAGTATGTTTTGAACCTTTCCATTACATTTTAACAATAAAACGTGAACATTCATTTCTAGTTCCTGAATGAATCATTGTTTTGAACAAATTGATTAGTGAATGATTCCATAGTAGGCTAATAAAGATAGCCAGTTGTTTTGTTCATGACTGAATCAATGTTTTTAAGCAAATTGTTTGAATGAATCACTTACTCGCTTGTCTCCACTTGCTGGTGCAATGATGTAACTCGCAGAAAGAGTCACTGAAAAGACTGTAACTGTAATTTTATAATCATTTTAAGAAATAACAATAGTGATTCTTGCCTTAACAAGCCCTGCTAGCCAATAAATAGTATAAATATTGTGCATGTCTAGAAGGTTGAAGAACAGCAACCATTTAATAAGGCATGTTATGAGTGAAATAGACAACCAGTGACACATCTAACAACTGACTAGACATTTCTAGGCAATTTGTTACAGATACATCTTGGCATAATGCCTGCAAATAAATCCAATTTATGAACCTCTCGGTTCGCCATGGTGGGTTGAGAAGAGATTCCAGAGATACCGTTCAGTCAGTTTGAAAATCAGTCCTTCTGGTTGGTACAGAAAATACCATCACAATTTAGAGGATTAGACTTCCACCTGGTCCCCAATGAATTATCTAACAGTGTTGAAACTGAAAAAGTGAACTGTGCGGCGAGCCAGAATGAGATTTCCATGCAAATTGTTCCATGCTCATCTTTCCCTCCTTTATAATAATCCCAACTCAATCCATCCCTCAGTTCAAACTGTGCCTAAATCTTCATTCTCTCTATGCGTCTGTGTGGTGTTGCATATGCTAATCTGATTCTCTGTGTGTGATTCCAGGTGATCGACATTAAGGAGAAGCTGAAGGAGTCGAAGAAATTCTGGTCGTCGCTGCCAGACAGCATGTGTGCAGAGGATGAAATGACTGACCCAGATGAGGAGCAGTGCTGGAACAGTCACACAAAGGGAAGGTACGACGGTCACCTTCAGACACAGATTCCGCATTGCAGATTGTTGTGTTTCAATGACACTTACCATGGTAATTTTTTTTAGCAATATTAGGTCATAGGCAAATACAAAACACACTGTTGGCACAATACAAGGTTGCTGCCCCCCCCTAATTTAATTTATATTAAATTAAATTAAATTACTAATAATTATTAACATACCATTTCTGAAAACTTTACTCTCCTTCAAATCTGTTCAAGTTTGGGGTCAGTACGTAGAAATTAATACTTTTATTCAGCAAAGATGCATTGAATTGATCAAATGTGGCAGTAAAGACAAATACATTTAAAATAAAATACATTTAAATGTATTTTAAATACATTTAAAATATATTCAGATTGAAAACGGCTATTTTCAATTGTAATAATATTTAATTATTACATAATCATATTTATATTAGATTGTTCAATAAATCCAAATAAATGTATTGAAACAAATGAATTTCAAATATAATTTACCCTTCTATTTTTATTATTTTTAAATTTTATTCTAGGCAGAAACTGGATACATAGTGTTTTGGTTTATAATATTCAATATTATATTAATTCAAAATACATTTATTAAAAATTATAAGAGAAGTTTGACTATCATTTTTGAAAATTCAGCCTTGCATCACAGGAATATTATGAACAATTACATTTTAAAATATATTCAAATAGAATATTGTAATAATGATTAACACTATTACTGTCTTACTGTATTTTTGCCTTGGTGAACAAAGGAGACTTTAAAAGAAAAAGAAAAAAAAAACTCTTACCGACCCCAAACGTTTGAATTGTTGTGTATATTAATAATATATGAAGTTGAGCTGTTTGGAACATCTACATTGACAAGCTGTTACTAAACACATTAATTTAGTGTGATTTTTTTTTTTTTTTAAATGGCGCAAGACTCAGAGCCTCAAATGATGCTCAAAGACATCAGTTTGCGTGTTCCATTTCTCAAACAGCCTTTCCTTGAACATAATAATATCATAATAATATCATGTTTAAAAAAAACATTATATTATTATAAACATATATATATATATGTGTGTGTGTGTGTGTGTGTGTGTGTGTGTGTGTGTGTGTGTGTGTGTAGAATAAAAAACAATAAAACCTTTTGAATGGATTGAGAGACCTGTGGTTTTAGAGTAGCTTCAGTTCATCTCACTTCATCTCATTGGAATATGCCATGATGTCTGTCACTCCGTCTGCCCGCCTTTGACAATAAGCCAGACGGCTTGGCAGAAAACCCGTCCACTTTTCAGTCCTCCACGACTGATAATATCAGCAGATGGTGCCATGTAAGATGTGTTTCATTTTCTTTCCAAGCGGCCTCATCATGTAAATGACCCTTACTGTGTGAAGACTGTTTTTTTAAGTACTTAAAAGACAAATTAACACAAATATACCAGAGAGCAAGTGGAGGTAAAATACATGTGATTTGATTTTTATTATTTATTTATTTGTATTTATATATTTATTTTTGTCTGTTAGATCTGTTCTCTATGGAGTACAACAGTCTCATTATTGGCTAATTACTGCTTAAAAACCACATGGATTGAATTTGAATAGAAGCACATTTGTGAAGCCGCAACCTGGGAGCATTCAACAAGTTTCATTTATTTTTCCACAAAGCACCACCTGAAATATTAATTAGGCACAAACAATTACCTCCTGCTAAAGCGCTTATTAGGAGATTAGATCTCAATAGTGTTCGATGCATGCATAATGCTGCAACATGTGTTTATACTGACTCACAGGGTCGAGATAAAGCGGCAGAAATTCAGTAAAGGCAAAATTATATATGCAATTAATTCAGTGTGAATCATAGACTCTACAAACGTCTTTATGTGGCTCATTCGAAAAGATAATTGTGACTTTACTTTCTTATTTTAAACTTTATCCTTTTTTATTTTGTTTTAGGTAGAAACTGGTAATGTTTGGATTTATAATGTTCAATACATTCAAGTAAATGTATTTAAATAAATTAGTTTTGACTATAATTTCTTATTTTAATCCTGTTCACAGTTACCTTTTTAATTAAATTTTAGACAGAAACTGGTTGCATAGTGTTTCAATAAATTCAAATAAATGTATTTAAATAAATAAAGTTGAACTATAATTTTTCATTTTAAACTTCATCGCAACTACATTTTTTATTTTTATTTTAGGCAGGATCTGGTTGCTTGGATTCATAATGTTTAATACATTCAAATAAATGTATTTAAATAAATTCAATAATTTTAAAGGATGAGAGTCTCCCACTGACATTGTTAGAATGATGATCTATTAATTTACAACATTGTTATTACAGCATTTGCATACTGCATTGTGATTTCTTTTAAATTTATTTTCATATTGTATGTTCATGTTGTATATTATTTTCAATTTATTTTCATTTCATATTTATGCTAATGTCCATCTTTATATAAAAATGTACTAGAACTATCTGTTTTACAATACATTTTAGCTCAAAGCGTTTCTGATTTGCTTAACTAAAACGTTAACACATTTATTAGCTACCTTGCAAGCACAACATTTCCTTCAAGAAATGCAGATCTAGTTGTAATGTTTGCACCTTTACAAACCAAGGTGATTTTCACGCTATAGGTGAAAGTGCAGCCTGCAGCCTCACATTATTCTTGTGTTATACAACGCAGGGCGATGCGAAAATGCTGACTTCTGATGCACATAGTGCAAGTGAATATTGCAAATGAAGTCATTCTGCACACAATGCAGAGCTGCAGGGCATGTTAATGTGAATGTGAGAGGTGCTGATCCTGCTAAAGTCGCTCCTGATGGGGTCCTGCTTGAGTCAACAACAACACTTGAGCACGTTACCGCCTCAAATGCACCAAAAAATACACCTGTTTAAGGTTTTATTATAATCGGCTGTAGAAAATGAATTTCAAGGCATGTAATTTGGGCATGTGTTTGAAAAAAATAGGATTTTTGTTTAATTTAATAGGTTTTTGTACATAAATGCATTTGCCTTTGTGTCGCTTGACTTTGCTTTTTAAGATTTGTAATCAAATATAGATTTATATCAATTCATAGATTCAAAAAAGTGAATCATTTATGTGTTTGTTGAACCCCAACTGTGAACAATTGTGATTAAAATATTCCCACCAAATGTTTTCTTGTTGATTTCCAGATATTTCCCTGAAGTTGTTAAAGATGGCCTTACGAACCAGCTCAATAACCCAGAGGTGGAAGTGGACATCACTAGACCAGACACCTTTATCAGACAGCAGATCATGACCCTGCGAGTGATGACCAACAAGCTGCGAAACGCCTACAATGGCAAAGACGTCTACTTCCAAGACTCCAGTAAGCCACTTCAGTATAGATAATGCACCCTGATATGCAAAAAGGCCTAACATTTTCAAAACTATCAAGAAAAACTTTCCATCATCCCATAGGAAAGAAAAATCAAAAGTGAGATCTCTTTAACATTTCATATATTTCTCCTAGACAGAAATGAGGTTACTTCAAGATCGAATTGAGATTTTTGCTTCTCAAACTTGTCTCCTGAGACAAAAACTCTAACACTCTCACAATGGTCTCCTTTAAAGCTTTAAAAGAGATCACAACAACATCACACACTGTGCTCGAATATTTATCCTTGTCTAAAGACTCTGATGGTCTCATATTTGTCTCCTTTAAAGTTTTAGAAGAGATCTCAACAACATCACACACTGTGCTCGAATATTTATCCTTGTCTAAAGACTCTGATGGTCTCATATTTGTCTCCTTTAAAGTTTTAGAAGAGATCTCAACAACATCACACACTGTGCTCGAATATTTATCCTTGTCTAAAGACTCTGATGGTCTCATATTTGTCTCCTTTAAAGTTTTAGAAGAGATCTCAACAACATCACACACTGTGCTCGAATATTTATCCTTGTCTAAAGACTCTGATGGTCTCATATTTGTCTCCTTTAAAGTTTTAGAAGAGATCTCTACAACATCACACACTGTGCTCAGACATTTCTCCTAGTCTAAATACTCGGGTGGTCTCATATTTGTCTTGAGATCTCTTCTAAACTTTAGAGGAGACAAATGTGAGAGATCCAGTGTCTCTAGCTAAGGAGAAATGTCTGAGCACAGTGTGTGATGTTGTTGAGATCTCTTCTAAAACTTTAAAGGAGACAAATATGAGACAATCATAGTCTTTAGACAAGGAGAAATATTTGAGCACAGTGTGTGATGTTGTTGAGATCTCTTCTAAAACTTTAAAGGAGACAAATATGAGACAATCATAGTCTTTAGACAAGGAGAAATATTTGAGCACAGTGTGTGATGTTGTTGAGATCTCTTCTAAAACTTTAAAGGAGACCTCTGTGAGAGTGTTAGAGTTTTTGTCTCAGGAGACAAGTTTGAGAAGCAGGAGACTCAAGCAAAAGTTTCCATTCAATCTTAAAGTAAGCTAACTTCTGTATATGAGAAATATTTGAAATGTTAAAGAGATCTCTTTTTTATTTAATTTTTCTTTGCTCTGTTTAGCTTCAATGTCATTTATCCTCACCATTTCAATCAAAGATGATACATGCATTGTCATATTTGAAGTTGTTTTATGTAGACAGTGTTTTATTGCACAATGATTTAACAGAGGAAACCATAACCTATATTTGCATACATGCAAAAATGGGCTGTACAAGATAAAATTGTAATGCTAAACAAAGAAGAAGAAAAAAAGGTACACTGGTATAGTGTTACATTTGTTAAAAAAGGTATTGCTCTTATACTAAACATCTTGCACTTGTAAGCCCTTTCTAGTGTGTTTGGAAAATGTGGTGTATAAAATGCTGGACATTGAAGATAAATGTAAACGTAAATGTTCTGAAATGTTTAATGCTATTTTAAATGATAGTTTTAGTATTGGCAATATTAGTAAAAGTTTAACGTTTCTCCTAAAATAAAACTGAAGACATCTTAAGACAAAGCTGATATCTCAATGAGACATATAAGAGAATCACCCCTTAGTATCCTGAGCATAGAGTGATCTCTGTCAGAGCCATAGCCTTGTGGGTAGCACAACGATGTGAAGGCATAACCATCTCAAACAACATGGGTTCGAATCCCAGCTAAAGGTACTTTCCTGTTCAATTCTCACCTGTACATTTGTTTCCTGTCTCTACTCCTACTGTCCTGACCATTAAAGGTAAAAACCCCCATTGCAATAAAAAAGCAACTGCAACCTCTGAGCAGTAAAACATTTTTGTAATGGAGTCTTGCAAGAGATTACAGCAAGACAAAAAAGTGGTCTCCCATTTTTCTCACATAGTTCTGTCACATTGTCATTTTGGGTTCCTTTCAGAACTTTCTCATGTCTCAGTTGTCAAGTCAAGTCAAGTCACCTTTATTTATATAGCGCTTTTAACAATACAGATTGTGTCAAAGCAACTGAACAGCATTAATTAGGAAAATAGTGTGTCAATAATGCAAAATGACAATCGTAAACACTAATTTTTCAGTTAAAGACAGTTCATCATTGGATTCAGTGATGTCATCATCCAGCTCAGTTCAGTTTAAATAGTATCTTTGCAATCAAGTCAACGATAATCGCTGGAAATGAAGTGTCCCCAACTAAGCAAGCCAGAGGCGACAGTGGCAAGGAACCAAAACTCCATCAGTGACAGAATGGAGAAAAAACCTTGGGAGAAACCAGGCTCAGTCGGGGGGCCAGTTCTCCTCTGACCAGACGA